TTTGCCTGTAAATTAAAAAAAGATAAACCTCACAACTCACGGACGTGACAGAGCATTTTTTATATTTTTGTGACGTCTATAGAAAATGCAATTCTTTAGGGTACGTACAACATGTGAAAAATCTATATGATCCTCAGTTTGCTAAACGAATTCGAACTATTGTTAATCACCATACGCTTCTTGTTGAGCAGCTATATTTTTAGCTCTTTCGGTAACCACCTCAGTATGAAATAGAACAGGAATGTAGAGTATTGTATAATTACAATTAAACAATCAAAACGTTTGAATTTGTTTAATTATTCAAAATACAAAGAGCTGCGCTAAGTTAAAAAAACGAAAAGATGTGAAAAATATAAGTACTACTGACTATTAATACTTAGTAATTATCATTAAAACAGGTTAACAAAACTACCTAAATCGTCCAGAAAAAGATATTCATCCTGCTTTGAAGATACTCAGGACCACTTAAGATTAATTTAATGTCTGGCTCATATATAACCGCAAATTTTTCTCTTATTATTTCTTTTTTAGAACACTTACGAGTTTCTTTTATAGTCTTTTCACAAATTTTTGTCGTTCCTTTTACTTCTGCTTTTTCCTTCTGTATTGCCCAAATATGATACTTCTTTGTCTTTATTATTAAGATTGAAGGTTAGGTGTTTGTTCTTGCTATTAACACAAGAACTGCCTAAAAAATCTTCATCGAGTGAATCGTTACAACACATACTCTTTAAAACTGCATCTACTCTTGCTTCATCAAAACTTTTGTGCTTCTTCAAACTTCCAACTAAAAGAGCCATACTGGCATGCTGCTTACATAAGCAGGTATCTACTTCTATAATTGGGAGTTACCACCCAGAAAAGCCGAAATTTGCAAATGTTATCTTTATAAATTAAGGGTGAGTGGCAACAAACTTTTGATGAAGGTTTAATAAAATATCATTAAGGTACCTTTTTTGTTTTTTATTTTTATTTTTTGTTATTGTATTTTTTCCCAGATATGTTTTTCCTGTTTCTTGAGAAGCGGAGTTCCGTGACACACTTGGACTTGGCCGGTTAGGGCTATCCGGTGGTGTAATTGATTGAAGGAAGTTATTTTCATCTTATTCAGCTTTTTCTGTAGCTTTTTTATGTTGTCTACAGCGCCAGGAGCGTTCTTTCCAATCTTGTCGAATTTTCCTTTGCTCTCTTTCACTCAAGTCTTGAATATGTGGCCGACTCTTTTTTTCCGATCTCTATCTTTTGCTTTTGCCTCATCGTGGCGGACTGGATCATTTCTTATTTTTTATCCAGCTCGTCTCATACTCATTTTCTTAGCTCATCTCCTTTTTCCCAATTGTTGTTCTTTTTTGCTTTGGCCATTTTCAACCTAAAATAATCAATAAACATTGTTTCACAGTAGTCCTAAAATCAAAAGAATCACGGCCGTGGATATTTTGTCACCTCCGTGGACAACAAGAATCCACGGACATGACGATAAAAGCATCTGAGTCAATCTACCTACTATATATTTGAGGTTAGAAAATGCATCGACTGTTAAATCTTATCATTTATGTATATTTTATCTATAAATATCAAATAAGTATGACTCAAAAGAGAGTATTTTTATTATTTAACGAAAAAAATGTTGCAAAAGTAGTTTTTTCGACAATTTACAGTAGCTGTGACCTACTTTCTGCCTATGTAATTAAAACTACCCATATCCCTAAATCTCATAAAAAACGATGCAGTGGTTGATGAGATTACGCAGTCATAGGGACTTATGGCGCCCATTCACATATGGATTTCGATTGGATCGGGAACTGACAGTCCAATATCTAGAAATGAAAATATCCATTCACACGCAACTTTCTCGTTAGTGTCTTGCACATAGGAAGTCCAATACGATAACTTCGATCCGACTCATCGGAAAACCACATACGTCTTTGGATTTTAATATTCAGCCAATAGATCCTGATCCCATCAAAATCAGTGTGTAGGAGTCTTCCCTCCCCGGCAGGGGTATTATGTAAAAAACCTAAAAGACGTCGAAAAACCCGACAAAAAGTCATCTTGCAGACTAGGTAGTTTTTAGTGTGCAAATTCATTCCACGTTTTCCCGCTATGATGGCTATGAGCCCATCAGTGGAGAACACGACATTCATTGTTAGCTACTTGTTGGTTGCAGCAAGCCAACTAGTCTGTAGTGTTTAATTCTCAGAAGATGTGAAAAAAAGTTTGTTGAGTACTAAGATCGCATCAAGATGATTATGTGTATTGGTCTGCATATGTATAAAATTAGTAATATTTGGTATGTGATAAAATTATTACTGAATATGCTGCCAATGAAGTATATCTACCAGCTGTGCCCGACCGGTTATTTATATGTTGTCCTTTCTGAAGAGAGGTTGGGCTAAGTAAAGATAACATGGCCACGCAAGACAACTGTTGAATATACTAAGATTATCTGTAGCGATTTTTTTTCAAAAATCGTTGCGCAACACCTAAAAATGCAAATGAAAATTGGAAAATTGACGCCTTGACGTTAGAAATAGAAATATAAGTTTTGGCAGCTGACCTTGTTATTCTTGTCATCTGGATTGCGGTGTTGCCAGCTCATCGGACGTTTTTTGCTATTATTGCTATTTGGTTAGAATGTTAAAAAAAATGACATGATTTATAGATCTCTGAACATTTGATAGCAATTCGTGAAGATACAAATTTTGATAAAACATAAACCACGCCAGTCTGTTTTGTTTGTTCTTGCACGTACAATTTGAATATTTATCGGAATCACCTTTAGTTATTTGGCAAACATTATTACACCTTATACATAAGTGTCCACCTTTACGTTTTCTTGAGGTGATATAGTTTCCGATGCAATCACTGGGATCTCATCTCTTATGCTACACATTTCGGTATCAGCTTATCCAGACGTTTGCAGCTGCACTACAAAGGTTTCCGATCCACTTAAAACCCTAATTTTTCACATTTTGGATTTGCTTTAAAATTAGACACTATGCATATAACAAAATATCGCAGACTCCATCTATTTAAACTTAGTATTTTCACCAAACCAGTATTTCACGCAGCTATGTTTCGATGGGTGGAGAAATTGTGTCTATTTGTGTTGCGGCCCTATTGCTTTTCAATTTGAAAAACCTCTATGTCATGTCTGACTGTTACCACCACATCTACGAACTTCTATCAAGCATTCCATCCAAGACAACGAGGCTTTAGTGGACGTGTCATGTATTCCATACATTTGTTCCGTTGAGTCAAACCCTGGTAAGGTCAGCGACTCAGGCGAAATGCTTAACATCGTTTATCAGTACTACATGGGATATGCTAATATCAAGCTTTTGTTGAAATGAGCTAATAAATATGACAGAAAAGCTATCAAAATGCATTATCTGAAAAACCAAATAACGAGGGAATGTAGTTATAAGCGTGTCTGCATCAACTTAATGTCGATAGCAAATTCGAAACCCGTTGCATCGATATCTCTCTATATGTAGTTTTACGGAATCGGCTTAAAATACAATTAAATAGACTGAAAAAGGTGAATGATGTAAATACTAGCTCATGAACTTTTCCTACAAAAATCATTGGGGAATGTGCTCGTCGAAATGTTTGTAGCGCTTCAGAATTTGGAAACTACTATACCTTGGTTCAACCTTGCCACTATACTGTAAGCCTACCACTATCACGTTACAGCCAGCTAGAATGAATCTGTTTCTAAACACGTTTTTTATTTTAATCGTGAATTTCATCATAGCTGCTATAAAATCTTCCAAAATTGATCCCACCACACTCCACATCATTTATGAATGCAATATCTCACACCGATTGTGATATTCGGAATAAACGTCTACGGCAAAATATGAAATTTGCACTGGTAAAATATGTATGATGTGCGCCGATAAATAATCGTACTGGACTAAATCGAGTGTAATATACCAGATAGATCTGTCACAACTTTATCAATTCAGCTGGCGAACCTGTTTGGTGAAACAGGGGCATCTGGCGTAATCGGCTTCACTGGAATGATATGGGAGCCACTGCCACAGCCACTTTTCGCATTCAGAAAAGTTTATATGTGCGCCAGCCTCGTCACTTTCCAATTTGGAAACCCCCACGCCATGCCTTACCGTTGCCGCCACACCGGCGGACTGCGACCATCACGTTATTAAACTTTTCTCTTCAAGCGTTCCGTACGGTCGGCTTGACACGTTGCGACAAAGCGTTCCCGTTTCAGGAAATTCATACATTTATTCAGTTAGCTCAGTTGTTGATTGAATGAAATTGTAAACTGTTTATTGTATAAAGACACCGACTCACTGATTCATCACGACACCAACCCATCTTTATAATATCCTTAGGATGGATGTCACCAACATTAAAATTTAACGGGGTATTCGACCAATTAGGGAACAGCTAATCGAATTCCAATTTGATGGAAGCTGTCAAAACTCTCCTAATATCAGTAATATCTATTGATATATTGAATAAATCGTAAAAAAGTTGTCGTTTTGTAATTAAAAGTGCATTCTGGATGTAATACCATGTCTTTGAGCTTTAAAATTAGGATAACTTTTATAGAATTTCCAATTTCTATTATTTCACATGGTCTTATTTGAATGGACCAATCAAAATGCGAGAAGTAATAGGCAGATTTTCTAGCTATTATATTTAATATGGTGTTTTAATTGTTTTGGACGACTGTCACAATACAAGGCAACCTGGTTTTGTTTCTTTATCATATACAGAGTGTTGGAGATAATACATAGTTGTAAAAATGTGGCGTTTTGTTTTTATTTTGCAAAAAAGGGGATATAAAATGTATTCCAACCGGTAGTTCATCTTTTGTTACATCAAAAGCTATTTGTATCTTATGATCTAGAAATGAACACCAATGTGAACAAGCAGCATTCCTTGGTCCTAAATCATCGATATTTGTAAATGTATCCGCATCCACCTGTAAAATGCCTAGGTATTTTATTATATTTGCAAAACTTGTTGTTATATCTCATTTATTTGATCCGGAGTACGTCTGAAATCTTAATTGATTTTGGAGTGCTCTGCAGGGTTGTCGAACACTCCAAAAACAATTAAGATCGGATCAGTGGTTGATCAAGGGCCAACTTTGAAAGACATCTGGAATGATAATCCCTTCTGAAGTTTTCTGCAGTGTTGCCAAACTGAAAAAGAAAACAGAATCGGTAAATAGTTTCGTTGAATTCGGTATAGGGAAAAATGCCATCCCAAGTTCAGTGGCGGATCAAGGCCTTTGAGTCACGCAGCGCCGTCTATGAAAAAAGTTTATTATTGTATTGAGCGCGCACTCAACATGTTTTTTGTACAATGTGCATACTGGTCGCTCTTTCAAAGTTTTCTGCAACCATTCTGGAAACTCCTTTTTTGTTTCTTGCTTATAGGATTGTGAATATTTTTCTGTTTTACCACTGAACTCAACTCACATCTTAATTGAATATTTTTTTTAAAAACAGGTTTCGGTTTCTTTAATGCTTGTCCGGTGATGCTGTAATGACGGTAATCTACCATTGTGTACATTTTGTAGGAACAAAAATCAATTCAGGGCCAGCGGAGTAAGTTACGAGGATGTGGGTACGTAATCATACGCAACCCAAATCTACGCCCCTTGTGTGCCAGACTGCCTGAGTGTGTATGTATATGTATAAATGAATACTACATAAAACTCACTTTTTTCTGCAAGTATTGAAATATTTCAATTATTTCGAAAAATCGTGGAAAATGACGTTTTCGATAAATATTCTCATTTTGGTAAATTAAATTCGGTCAAGTCCAAGATTTAACATGCATAGAAAGTCTAAGGCCCAATTTCAGCAACATTAATATTATGGATCAATGGGAAAATACCTTATCGAAATGCAATTTGTCAGAAGGTGTCAAAGGTCTCAGAATATCAGTGATTTCTATTAAAATATTGAATAAAATCGTGAAAATTCGGCGGTATTATAAACAAGACCACTTTTTGATTCCAACATGATACTTTTGTACAGAGAAAATAGGTCAACTTTCATGTATTTTGATTTGTGTTATAAATTTACATTTAACAATCAGTTATCCCCAAAGCCAATGCGAATGCGGCAAATAATAGGTCGATTTTCTAGCTGTTAAATTTGGCAGCAGATTTGGACGTTTGTTAATGCATCGCAATCTCGAACTTAAGTTCAATATGCTGTTATCATTACATACCTGTTGAATAGTGTGGATTTGTCTGTATTTTCCAAGAAAATAGAATATAAAATACATTCCATACAATTCCTCATCTTCCTTTATATCATAATAGTAATCATTTATTAATTTACGGGTTAATGAATTTCTTCAAAGCAATAAAAACATTGTCCTCTGCATCCTAAAACACAGATAATATGTGTAAGACGTGTCAATCCCTACATCTCCGTGATGCATAATGCAATTACTATGGACATAGACAAAAAATTATGAAAAATGTCTCACAAATAATGTCTTTTAAGTCCAAAAATCATAAAAACTTTTAATGTTTATTGTTTGACTGCCTTTTTCACTGGTGGGGTTACCTATCTGTCACTCGCAGGGTTGCCAAGTCTAACGACGATCACGTCCCGTGGTGGAAGGTGCGACATGAACCGTTTACATTTGCTGGTTTTGAATTTAAAGTAGGAATACAAACATAGTACTTATGATAGTTGGAGCTAGGCTGGTAACACTTCTTGAAGAATATTTGAAAAGTGTGAACACCATCATGGTCTGGTGTCAAATTGCAAATGAAGTATCTGACGATTCTTACATACAGTTGACCTTCGTCATAGTTCACTATCCTGACTATGATCATCTTTGGCAGATGTGTTGTATCATCAAATTGATGAAGAAACATAAGAAAACTCTTATATACCTACATACAGCCGATTTTTCATGTAAATTTACTAGGTATCATGATTATAAGCATCTTTTGTGGATTGTTCGATCCGGAATGGGAAAGATCTCCTATTTATGAAAATATTTTTGGTATCATGTAACCGTTGCAATCAGTGCACAAAAACTGTGACATATGATCTGTAGCATAACCCGCTGCCCTATCAACACAAATTTAACATACAGGGCGCCTAGTCGTGGTCGGGATGAATATCACGGCAGCAACTGATGATTTGGGCATGTCTGGTAACAACGTATGAAGTGAAACTCGCAACTTCACAAATTTGAAGATTTTGTACAATTTCTTTGAAAATGATGAAAGATATGTCTGATTTGGCAAGGTAATGTCGCAGCCAATTGGCAGTCGGTCATTCTGGACGCTGGCCAAGCAGATTGAAAAGAACTTGTCGCACAGTAGCCTTCCACACTTACGTGTCAGGATGGAATGATTGTAACTAACTCGAAGGCCAAGACTGAAGTGCTTGCTAAGATCTTTGCTGCCAACTCCACCAAGGACGCCCCCAAACAAAGCTTCTGGTCCGAACTTGATTGTACTGAAGAGGTGTGCAGCGGAGCTTGCTCCAGTTCTTTCGCGTCTCTTCCAGATATCTTATGAATCCAGAAAACTGTAAATTTGCTCATGTCCAACCCATCCCAAAAAAGCATCTGAAACCAACCCTTACAACTAAATGCCTATAGCTCTGCTTTCTGTTATAAGTAAGGTGATGAGAGGTGCATAAATCGTGAGTTTCTGGACTACCTCGAACGTTTCGACTTGAGTAGCAACAGGCAGTATGGTTTCCGACACCAGCGATCCACAGGGGACCTCCTAGCTTACGTCACGCAATTGTAAAGTAAGCTAATCCAATATTACGGTGAGGCTTATGTTGTTGGTCTTGATATCACGAAAGCGTTCAATCAGCTGTGGCACGCTGCCCTTTTATTCAAACTTCCATCCCATGACTTCCCAGAAAGGCTTTGCAGATGGGTGGCTGACTTTCTCTCTGGCCGCAAGATATCCGTCGTAATTGACGGGTTCTCCTCTTCATCCCACAACGTCAACGCGGGTGTTCCCCAGGGATCGGTCTAGGCTCCGACACTGTTTCTCTTACATATCAACGACCTCCTTTCCTGTACGATTAACCCAATCCACAGCTTCGCTGATGACAGCACTCCACATGCAGGAATTCAGAGTGACAAAGCGATCTCTGCAGCTGAGCTGGAAAAAAGAAGATTAGCGGGACGAACACATCTTGTCAGTAGCGGCAGCTGCTGGGAAAAAGCTACGCTATTTGTTTCGGGCTACTTCTGCATGATCTTCTCACTCAATACAAGGCCTAGAAAAGGCCTAGCCTCGAGTATTGCTAACACGTTTGGGGTGCCGCCGCCCGACTATATTATCTATGCTCGATGTTGTCCAGAGAAGGGCTGTCCGACTGATCGATGACTCTTCTCTAACAAACAGTCTCGGGGCTCTTTCACACCGGCGGCCATCGGCGATCAAGTTCTCTTCTACCGCTACACCAACGGGCTTTGTTCCTCAGAGTTCTCTTCCATGATGCCGCCGCGCGATGTGCCTGCCATACAGACCCGGCTGCTTCCGTACAAAAAAATAACTACAGTAAAAGCTTCCTACTTCCATTGTATGTTGGCTGGGGGCGCAGCATAATCACTAGTAGCGTTCGGCACTTGATAAGGCTTTAAGTGTAAAAAAGGCGAACTTTAATGGAATTACCAGTGTAGCCAAAAATGCTGGAAATAGCCTGCGGACAAGTGGAGAAAAAATACAGAAAATCGCCAAGTCTGGCAACAGTGTTGTTTTGTCCAGATGTCACGTGACTCAGTCGCGATTAGGATAGAGACATCTTATTCATACTGATCGGTGCACGAAAATAACTGAATGACTCGGCACACTGCAAGTGGGAAAAGTGATTTTTCTTAGGTACCGGAAAAAACTAAGGAATAGTCAAATAAGAATTCCATCTGACACGCATGAAACATCTGTCGAAATCAGGTCTAAGTGTTGTATGAAAATGTTTTATTGACATCGATGAATTTCTAGAACATCCAAAGGTCTGAAAAGTCTTTGAAAGATTTGAAAATCTTCAGAAAACATATAGACGTAGCCAACAGTTAAGCGAGTAAAAAATCTTTCGGAAGCAAGTATCGAGAACCACAGGCTCCAGGGGCGCGGGGGAAAGTGAAAATTCCCTGACATGTGAGGCAACTTGAAGTGACATGAGATTATAACTGAGAAAGTGGCCAAAATAGAGGCTACTGAAATCACCCTTGTGTGGTCTAAACTGTTACATATTACCAAGCTATTCAATCGCTTTTTTTTTCAGTGAAGCCTGTGTTGGACTGGTGCATATTCCAAATTCTTATAACATAACCAGTTTACATATTAATTTTTTTTGTGTGAATTTTGAACTAGCGCTTCACTCAGTGTAGAAACATCCAGAACTTGAAGCAACTCGGGCTGGTATTGTCTACTGTCTGCCTCGATTTCCATCATTGAATGCAGCCGTGCTATTTGCTCGTGGTTTACTATTATTCTTTTCGATGATTCATCATAGTAACACGGAAAAGGACAAAGAAACGAAAAATGTGCTTCATTGACAGATTACTGCCCACGACACTACATGAGAGTTGTTTAATGTTGTTTTGGGAACAATATCAGGATCAAAGGTATTAACTAAGGTAGAGTATTTTAAACACAAAAACTGCGCTAATTTTATCAGAAGAAAGCACTATATCTCTGAGCCACAGAAGCAAAGCGAATCTCAGGCTTTCGATTCTCCCATCACTAGTGTGATGTGCTTTCTAGTTGTTTGCATTAAGTTGCAATCAGTTCTAGGAACTGGTTCGTGAACATGCTACTATATGCATCAATACCACAAAAAATATATGTACAGAAACAGAGCAGATATTCCAGTCTGTCAGTCGAGATAACGTAAAAACGATTCAATTCATATCTTTTAACCGTTGTTGTATGTATTCTCCCATCACTAATATTGTGAGACACTAATTTCAAATGTCAATTCTTCTTTGGTATATTCTTTTACTCCAACGTTACTGTACTCTATGTTTTGTGGTCACTTGTCACTTATTGTTTTGATCTTGTGTTATTTCTGAAAAATGTTCGGTATAAAAAGTGCTCTCTCCAAGAACTTTCTTATGCAGAATTACATATTACACTGTCGTGTACAGTTAAATCTGCAAATACATGGTTATGTTGAGTGTCATCATCACCGATAGTACGATCTGCTATAAAACAAAGAACTGCACCTGTAATTGAATATATGAATGAAATCTTGAACAGTTTCGGACCAGTGGTGTCAAAATGTCGTTGAGGAATTGGAAAGAAGTATATGAATGTGTTTAAACACAACACCTAACAAAAATGTGAGTGAAAAGGCTTTTTCATGTAAGAATTTGGAAGTGCAAGTTTGCAACTATTAACACCCAGTAGGTGAAGTTGAGTTAATATAATCACATATGGATTACAAAAGTTGCAATAAACATGGACAAACCTTCAGCTAAACTGAAAAAATGGATTTTACTCAGCCATCAAGCATTTTTTTAACTTTTGGCTTAGTTTTATATAATTTCATAATAGTTAATAAACTGAAAACATTTCAATGGCAAGCTGTCACTTCATACTTTGCAGTGTTTTGTTTTTTTGAATTCTTTGACGCTATTTGCTGCCAAAAATTTGACGGAAAGATCTTGAGGCTGATTGGGTATATTTGAGGGACTGTTTAGTACTCGTACCTTATTGGTGCAGAATAACGGTTTGTCAAATGATGCGATCGGCCCTTAGGTATATTTTGACATCAGCTTCACTTTGAACAATTCTTCAAGTACATACATACAAAAAGTAAATAGATTTTAACTATAATATAGGAAAAATAATAACTGAAGTATTTTTGGGAAGGGCATACTGCATTCTTCCGAAAAGAGTCTTTAGCTAACGCTATCGTAAGGCACGAGGTAAATTTAGTACAGTAAAACCTACCCGCCACATCTCCAAATTGCATTTTCATGGCAATCCTGTGCCGATTGCACATTTTTGCGCTAGTATATAAGTAAGAATTTTACAAAACAAATGAGGGTATATATTATTCATGATTTGGCAACATCGCAACTAGATGGAGAAATTATGATAGTGATGGTGATGTAGTGATGTATAGTATTTACCTGAAATAAAAGAAACTACTACTTAACAATGATCTATTTTCATCATTAAGCAACGCAAAATTGCATTATCGCGATGAATAGTATCACAGTAATATATCATACAGTGTATGTTATATTCATATAATTTTTAGCACTGTTTTGTGTATAACAGTATAACCACCCAAAATGCAACTTTGAAGTTCTATAAAATAGGAAGCATCGGGTTCCTTAAAGAAAAAATATATTTTCGTACAAGTTACATCATAATCTTTCATTTTAAAATAATATATGAAATATTTGCGAAATGCGCTAAAGTATAGTTTAGCCGAAAAATTGTTCAAAATCTCAGAAATTTTACTCACCCTTTAGTCTTTCATCCATTTTGTTACAACTTTTCTTATGTAAATTGATGTTTCATTGACGTTTTAGTATTTGCTGCTTAGAAGATTCTCTACTACTTTTTTACTAGTTTATAAGATATATTGCAAGAATATACGCTACACATATCGCTTTTTCACATGTTGATCCATCTACCCTGGTCATCACCATGTAATCATGAGAGCTGAAACAAAGAAATAAGTATTATTGAACCAAATATATTATATTTGGTTGACCATATGGTAGCAATTACTTGGTTTTCTTTTCTTTATTAACATCCCTGATTCAAAATTAGTAGCTTTTGTTTGTTTTTACGTAACCTCGCAACGGGTTTGTATGTCAAATATCAAGAAAGGCAGTTGTCATGAGTTATCACTGAATATGCTACCGATGAAGTAGCTCTATTAGCTTTCCCGACGGGTTATTTATATGTGCCCCTTTTTCTTGTGTTTCCAAGAACTTTGAGGATTTGAGAATTTTGGGTGCGGGCTTGCTTGGACGTCATATACCTCCTTTTTTACAAGAAAAAAATCATACCAATGGATTTAATTTTTTTGAGAAAATCAACCATTTCTGTCGGAATAACGGAAACAGTCCTCTAGCGGCCACATGTGAAATCAACAAAACTTCAAAGATTATATCGTTTGCAGCGTAACAATAGCTCTTCTCAATTAGCCCAAGTTTGTTAAAGTCGGCTCAGCCGTTTCGGCGGTACATTGTGTTTTTTACGGAAACCTTGGAATACTCACCACAACTTTATTTTTAGAGATACAGCAAAAATTGTCAAACAAATAAAGTTAAGATTTTCCTCGAATTCAAAGATCAGGTATTTGTGTGTAAGGTTAATATAGTGAAATTCACAGAAATATCACTTTTTAGATTCAAGATTACAGTTACGCCCCCTAGCGACCATGTCAGAAGCTTGAAAATATTTTCCAGGTTTTTCTCTTGGCCGTTTTAGTACTAACTGTTTTTGCAGTAAACCTTTATGGTGGATAGGTTCCCGGATACAGTACCTTGCATTCCTAGTTGCCACCCTGTACATGAAAATGTTCATACCGGTTTTAGCAGAAAGTTGGAGCCTTATATTTCAGCCGAATAGTTTGTAAATTCTGAGCCTGGATGTATGCCAACAATATTTGCAAAATTTATTATTGCCCGCGCTCTTCGGAAAGCGTTAGAGGGCAAATCAATCAACCGAAACATATGCGAATAATTCAAGTTATTATGAATGACGCGGACTTGATCTACCTACAAAATGTCTTCTACGATGGCTCATACCTCTCTAGCCACTTGGCATAATATAAACAAAGTAGATGCCTTCGATGCATCCAAATAAACAGACCTATTGAATTTTTGTGTCACATTTTGGAAACACCCTGTATAATTGAAGGAGTAATCAACAAATCATTGGAAGTTACTTAGCAAGGAATATACAAAAAGAGGCTTATGATGAGTTTGTGATCAGGGACATCATTATCATGTTATTTAGTTATACAAGTTGTAGAGCCGTGAACCACCCACCACTTCACGAACTTTTCACGCGAATAGCAGAAAGGCAGAGCTGACCCATCCCCATTCTTTTTATTCGGATTCAATATCCTCTGACGAAGGTAAAAGTAATGTGACAACTGCTGAGCTAGCACTATTACCGGTGCATCTTTTATGAAATCTCTTATTCGAATCCCGCAGATCGAAGCTGACTCTGGCCGCTGTCGCGTCTTATTTCTGGAAAAATAGTGGAGTTACTCCCTTTCCTATTCTTAAAGGCGAACGAATGTACGACGAGGCTGAAGAGAAACACGCAAATTCGAAGTATGTGAGTTGTGCACTATTATTTACAAGTAGTATATGTATAACTGGGTGTTTATTATCTATTTTTGGCACAGCGCTACAATAGTAACCGTTATCTAGATATCCATCTCTGTAGGAAAGTACGTTATAAACTTTTGACGGATGCGGTTATTGGTTGTTAGTCTAAACCACAGAACATTAGAATCCTAGGACATTAGGCTACATACAGGGTGTCCAAATAGTGTGTCAAGGCTTGAGCTTTTTAATAAGGCAGAGAGAGGGTCCCATAAATTACATAGTGGCAATATAAATTTGTATTTTTTAAATGGGACACTCTGTATTTCTGATTTGTATAAGCGTCTTTACTTGTCCATTCTACGAATGTATGGTTTCGGGGGTTTGCACTGAGTATTTCGGAATATATGGCCACTTTTTCGTTAAAATCATTGTACATCTGACTTCCCGTATCTTAAACACATTTAATCTGTTTATTATGCTGAGTGACGAAAACAGTGGTAGACATTCATATCCAATGTTTTTTACATGAATGTTTCATTCGAGGCATACATGCTGAGCCAAAACGGGAAGGTAATTTTCTTGAAAAATTGAAATGGAACATCCTGTATGTTATATCTCTATTCAACCGATCTCTTGATGTGTTCTCAGTTTTATTAAGAATTCCCTGTGTCTAAACATAGTATTTTTTGAGATATTCCATGTTTTATAAGTGTAATATTGGAATTATTAGGAAGATATAGGTTGTCCAAGCTTTTTTGACAATCCTGTCATCGCAAACTTCAGTAGTAAAGTTTTGCTTGCATTAAGTATTTTAGCTTAGGAATTAATTTTTCAGCTCAAGAAAGTAACAAAAATTCTTTATTGGCAATAAGATTGTATAATCAACGGCACCCAGACAGAAGACAACCATGTAGGGATGTGGATTCTTCATTATCGAGCTCCTGCTCATCGCACACAAGCAATGAATAATTATTTAAATACTAAAATCACTCAGATGTCAGATGGCCACCCAGCACGGGTATTATGTAAAAAATTATATAAGACGTCAAAAAAACCTATAAGGTGTCATCTTGCAGAATAGGTAGTTGTTAAGGCGCAAACAGTCATTCCACGTTACTCTCTAGGATCGTTGTGAAGTCCATCTATGGAGGAATCACTCAACTGAACCACACGTATTGTTGATTGCATATGTTTTGTTAAGCCGAGTGGTCTGTGTCTGTAGTTTTTATCTCTGAGAAGAAAGTTGCTTGCATAGATTATGTGCATTGGACTGCATGTGTATAAAATTAGTGATATTTGCTGTGTGAGAAAATCATTACTGGATATGCTGCCAATGAAGTATATCTATTAGCTGTGCCCGACGGGTTATTTATGTGTTTTCTTTCTGAAGACAGGTTACCTTCAAAGTTATAAATTACGAAAAACTTTGAGGAGAATAACGGAAAGTCATCACCGCGCCCGCGTTGTGTGTAATTACTGTTAACATGTACCTATATGACTTGTAATTCAACAGTGTACAGTGAATATAATTATTTCTTATCTCTCTCATTTTTGATATTCAGCAAATTTGCATATGTTTCTACTTTCCAGAATGGATAAGAAAAAGTGGATGCGCAACTAATTTCTAGCTTTGAATCTCAATAAAGTATATTTGAGTCAAGAAGTCAATGGAATTGTTATCAACACATACAACTTAAGCTTAGACCTCCAGTAATGCTATCTCTGAAGCAGATTTTATGTCACATCAGAGTCAAACCTTGATAACTGAAGCGTCATGACGTTTAGGCAACACGTACAGCTAAGTGCTAAGTTAACACCTTGTAGAAAAACCTACATAATGTCAAAAAAAAAACAGTATAATGTCAAAAAAATCGATATAACGTCACTTTTCAAGATACGTAATACCCGTGCGGGTCTCCCGACTTAACGGAAACGGAATATTTTACGTTAAAGAAGAGGTCTATAAGATTCCACCTTCGACAAGAGCTAATATGCAAGACAGGATACGGGAAGTTTTTCAGACCATTAACCACTAAATGTTAAATAATGTTGCCGCATCATTTAAACGTCGGTTGCAGGCCTGTATTTTTATGCTGGTGGTGGACACTTCGAACAATCAATTAAGTAGATAAATAGATTAGTTATCATTATCATAATTTTTACTGGGTTGTCGTTATTTTGAATTATTAAGGTTCTTTAGCAGATATATTAGGTGTTTAGTTACATTCTTTTAATCACTCAGCGACATATTTTAATTAATAGAAATTTTTGTTTTATCAATAATATGACTGATGGATGTTTTCCTAATAATTCCAAAATTATGGAATATCTCAGAAAATACTAGATTTGGGTATAGGCAATGCTTAATAAAACTGGAAGATCACTATCAGACTCGTTGAATAGGATTTTAACATTCAGGGTGTTTGATTTAAATTTTTCAAACGACATCTCTCTGTTCTGACTCACCATGTATGTCTCGAATGAAATATGTAAAGAAAAAACGTTGGATACGAACGTCTGCCACTGTTTCCATGACTCAGTATGATAAAACAGATTTTACTTAGTGTTGTTTAAGATATAGGAAGTCAAATGTATAATGATTTTAACGAAAAAGTGGCCATATATTTCGAATCACCTGGTACAAACCTCGGAAACCATACATTGGCAAAATGGCCAAGAAAAAGTGCTTCTAAAAATCAACAAAAATTCAGGGTGACTCATTTAAAAAATACAAGTTTATATTGCTACTAATCTATGGAACACCCTGTATAGCTAAAACTAATTTTAGGTTATAACCCTTAGCTCTGACTACAACTTTTATATTCAAATCGTTTCTGCAACTCTAATAGTAACGAAGATATTGAGCTTTGACGCACTATTTGGACACTCTATATATTATTAAATTGCCAAATCATACTACGACAGATTTGAACTTTGGCTATTCAGTGAGTTTTCCAAACCCTAGTAAGAGCAGAAAGGGCCAAGGCTAATATTTTGTCAAACAAAGATAGTCTTACTTGATATCTTTATGTGTCAAAGTTCTCTTTCAAAACAGTGACTTTCTTTTTTTTACACAATACAACTTGTATTCAGGTTTTTTGTAGGGTTGTTGATATACGAGCAGGAGTACATAGGAAATCGTTCATTATTTCGATTATTTAGATGTTCTTAATCATAGAACTTATTTCATTGATACTTAAAATACAAGACATACAAGTTCCAACTCTCGATTTTCAACTCCTCCAAGTCATTCTAAAAATGTGCAGAAATCTGTGAGACGTCGAGAAACGAAGTTTTTTTTGTCCACAGTAACGCATGCACTAGATACATTATCAAAACCCACATTGCATTTTAGACCTTGGTGAACTAGTGATATTATTTCAAAATCGATCGATGCTTTCAGAGTTGTAGAGTGGTAGCAATGATTAGCGGATAGAAAGAGCGATAGATAGATCGACAGACAGACAGACGGAAATTAGTGGCATAGTTTTTAAAAAACAGTTTCACGGCGTAGAGTAAAAAGTAGTCGAACACGCATAAGGGTTTTGCGGTATCCTTTCAATACGGTTATTTCCCCAGCTCTGTTCTTGCTCTTAGCATCTAACTTGCGTGTACTTATAAACGTAAGCATAATTTATACTGTGTACACATTGCAGCATATCAAAATCACCCAACTAGCGATGTTTCTCGTTTTAGTGATTCGAAGTCACAGATTACGAATTCCCTTAAGTTGAACCTTTTACAAAAGGCTTCATTTACTTTTCGAAATATATTCGGCTGTAAGTCGGAAAGCGCCTTCATTCCTATACAAACAGAAATTCCAATGTGACACTATAGGTCAGGAGTTAGTGATTATTCCTTAGATTGGGTGAAAAGCTTGATATTTTTCATTCTCGAAAGCTTCAAGATTTTAAACTGGACGGTTATTGCATTTAAGAACAACGATGTTTTACTACAGAGCAGTGTGCTGAGCTGGAAGAATGAAAAACCACGTAGGTATTATAGGCAACTCTCTCCTGCATAATAATGCTGCCTTTATAATGTCACCTAACTTAACATAAGTAGTTTAACGTAGCTCAATCTAACGGTCACATAGGAAGTGCTAACATCAAGCTAAGTTAGGTTGAGTGACTTTATAAACGTGACATAATTATTGACCGTGATTCTTAAATAATCATGATTTTCAGTTATTACATTTAAACAAATGATTTCTTGTAGCTAAACAGAATTCAAATGTGCTGGCTGAGATAAGGCGATACATAAATTAAATACAATACTGTACGCCGAACAAATACTTTAAACGTTACGTATATAATAGGATTTATATTGGATCCTCCTGTTGTATATCTTCTTAATAATGCCATGGCATAGTGCGCTAAAATCCCTCACATCTTACGTACATTGTATTCAAAATAAAAATGGGTTAATATAAATATGTCAGGAAGTCTTGATAGGTTGCAATTAAACAGTTTCTCAAGAAAGAAAAAACCGTAAACTTAAAAACCTCAAAACGTCAATTTAAGCCGATCGTTGGCTTTATTCCCATGGATATTAAAACCGAAAAACAATATTATATTGTATTAAGTTTAATTCTGCAATACAAAAATAAATCCAAAGTATATGAGGTAGAAATACAAGCGGTGATTTTTGACTATTATTCTTTGTCCTCTTACTCCAGGACGTATCTTTGCATCTGCTCGGAAAAATATTATGATCAGTTTATTTCATACAAAAATGGCCCCTCTGAACGAGTCTGCATGTTTCCAGGCCCAAAATTGCGTTCAAAATTATTTATCCAATTTTTTAGATCTAAAAATTGATTTTTTTTTTGCTTAGTTCAAAGTTTTTTCAGGTTTCTCATGAGCCTTTCTGTAAAGCTGATAGTCATCGAGATATATGAATTCTAATATAATTAAAAAGTGCAAAGTCTCAGACTCCGAAAAACAATAGCTTAAAATTGTTTAGGTATTAGGTCATTATGAACCAAAAATGTTTATATGAACCTTTCTCTAAAGCTGCCCTTAACAAAAAAAATACATCTTTTTGCTCAGGTCACAGGACATTTTTGTTTAAGAATGTGCCATTTTGAATAATTTTGGACAGTAAAACCGAATAAACATATTTTTCCGAGTGGATACTAAGATACTTCCCATTTTCAAAATGCGGGCCCCTGAATAACGTTACCATAAACTGGTTTTTCTTAAATAACTCCTGAATAATACTGTATACTAACGAATTGAAGTCTCACATGACGGTCTTCACAGAAAGCAATTAACTCTTTAGATATCGCCAGGGACGCAAAGCCCCAACACTACTGCAAATCTTGCACCCGGTATAATAATCGCTCAAATGAATTATTTTTGAAAAGTTTTTTCTAAAAAAATGTATTCTTGTGATATTTTGATAAAATTAACGATTTTTGAGAATAATGTGTTGCTTTCGAACCACCCTTTCGATTTACACTGCAGCAAATTCTCAAAAAGATAGACCAAAGCCTGCATCTGGGTACAGTGGTCTGAAAATTTGTACACAAGAAGCGGTATAAAAACCCCTTGAATCGTTACCCGCATTTTAGAAAAAAACAATATGTTTAAATTAACACACCAACGGAAAACGTTAACTGCTTCCTCTGCTAATGCAATTTGCAATTGACGAGGGCACAGCACGGAATCCAAAAGTGGCCTCGTTCCGAGTTAATCGTATATAAACATCAGTCGCGGGTATTTCGAAGCTGTGTGATGTCGATAAGGCTAAAGCTACTCAATCCCCGGAACCTTCCTATATTCCTTTCGAATCCTTATATTCACTTTGGGTACAACCTTTTGTGTCCGCTGCGAATTTTATCTTGGAATCGGGTTTTCTGTAGACTCGCACAACTGTAGCTAAGGTCGACTGACAGCTCGTTTAACTGGCGTCAGACGGAATAGTTAAGCAGTTTATTTTTATAGGGGATACGATTGAGCTTTTCTCCGAATGCTCTTTTACGACTCTTGTACCTTATCATCGATGGAACAATAACATCGGCAATTCCATTTGTTGTTCCATAATAGTCCAGGCAAAAATGTGTGTGAGCTGTGGTGGAGGCACAAAGTACTACCACAGCTTAGATAACAATCAGCTATAAAACTCAAACACAAGAATTTTGGTGTCTTTGTCGCGGAAAAACGACAGAGGATGAATAAATTGAGAGATTTAAGAAACATTGCTTGCTCATTCTAAACAAATTCATTTAAAAACTGTATGTGTTATGGTATTGGATCAATCACCTTGTGGAGAGCGGCATATTTTCCAAGTCATGAGCCTATAGTTGCCTACAAGATATCGGAACTTCTGACCGCTTACACATTAAAAACTCGTCCTGTATGTAGAAACAGCGTCAGAAGTGTCAGGTTTGATTGCGGTATTTCAACCCTCTATTGCATATGGTTCCCAAACGGGAACATTATATTTTTAGCTTGTCTATTGTCGTCATCTAACGTTTAGATCCCCATTTAATGCGTAAGATCCAAACTTGAGGCATTGGGCACTGTTCCGTATAGTTTTTCAACCGATAGATGTTGCTAGGAGCACCTGATGGTTTGCATTTGATTTGACAGCGTCGCAAGCGGCCGTTCCAGATTTTTATCTCACTTTTATTACGAGAAATAGCTCTTTTGCTGCATTTAGGTGAGTGTTTTATTTTTTTTATTACTGATTATTATTATTTGAATAATACTGTACAAAATGTAATTAATTTTGATGATATTTGTTGCCACGAGGTAACATAACCCTAATGTTCCCGCTCGGGAACATTATGCATCCAAGGTCAATAACGGAAATTGTTTGTCTTCCATTCTTTACTAAATAGCATTTTCTATTATAGATCCAAACGACAATGGATTTCCCTGAAATAAAACCAGGTGCATTTTATGGGCGTAAAGGTTGAAGTTCAGTTTATTCGCGGTATTCCATCTGACAGCGAGGATTCGGAACTATCAGATGACGAGGATCAAGGTGAGATAAAAAATGCTTCTCGGGCAACATTAGTTTATATTTATTTTATTTACAGTGGAAATACCAATATCAACGAATGATTTGGGCACGGAAGACTTGCAAGATGCAGATTCAGACCCAGATGATATTCCCCTAGCACAACTATTTCGCCTTCCACCTAATACCAGGTTTTTCTTCTCAAAAACCGACGATAGTATATCTTGGAAGCAGTCAACAACTACGAGAGATCCTCAAGAAAATACATTTCTTGGTCAAAGTGATCTTCCAGAAGACATCTTACAGATACATGGTGCATACAGTTTCTTCAAATTTTTCTTCACGGATCAATTTCTTGCACAAGTTGTAGAACAAACGTGCTTGTATAGTGCACAGAAAAGGCCTAACAAACCAATAACCACAGATATAAAAGAAATAGAGCAGTTCTTAGGAATAATCATATGGATGTCTCTAGTAAGACAACATTCCACTAGGAGACACTGGGCTGCTGGTACTAGGATACCTCAAATTGCAGATGTGATGCCTATCAATAGGTTTGAAGAGCTTAAACGCTTCATTCATTTTTCGGATAATAATTCTGCTACTAAAAATACAGATAAAATCGAGCAAGTCCTAAATCAGATAAGAACTGCTTGCCAAAAAATTCCGTTCGAGGAGCACTTATCTTGCGATGAACAAATAATTCCCTTTAAGGGAATAATTTCACTGAGAACTTACAATCCAAAAAAACCGCACAAGTGGGGCTACAAAATGTATATATTGTCTGGAGTGTCTGGATTCACCTCCAACTTTGAGCTTTGTAGTAATAAAGCAGATCTGACTTTAGTGCCAGGAGAACCAAATCTTGGAGCTGCTAGTAACATTATAGTACGTTTGTGTAGACCCATTCCTCGAGACATGAACCACAAAGTATACTATGATAACTATTTTTCCAGCTTATACTTTTTGGCTTATTTACAAAAGCTAGGAACACAAAGTGTTGCAACAGTTAGGTCAAATCGCCTAAAAGGGCTAGATATTATGTCAGAAAAGGACATGAAAAAAAGAGGCCGCGGTGCCTATATTGAAAAAACTGCCACTGTTGACGGTGTGTCTATCCATGCTGTACAGTGGTATGACAATAGAATAGTCTCCCTGATTTCCACATTTTCTGGAACGGAGCCAATTACTAAAGCACGACGATTTTTCAAATCGGAAAATTGCAAGGAGATAGAACGCCCAGACATAGTAGCAGTGTATAACATGCATATGGGTGGCGTCGACTTGCAAGATTCTCTTCTGGGATTGTATCCCATAAAACTAAAAAGCAAAAAATGGTACTTACGAATTTTTTTTCACATGATTGATACTGTTATTGTCAATGCCTGGTTACTATCAAGACGAATTAACAGGCAACTAAATAGAAATGAAAATGTATCTCTTTTAGAGTTCAAAACAACCTTAGCTCAAGATTTATGTTGGGTTGGAAAAACCGCACAAAGGAAAAGGGGTCGACCAAGTGTCAATTCTCCGCGTAACTCTCCCGTACCTATTCCCCTAAACAGAAGATGTCTGGAAAACAGACCTACCGATGCAATGAAATTTGATAATTTCGGACACTGGTCGTCTTACACAGTGAATCGGGAACGATGCAAAAAGCCTCTATGCAAAGGAAAATCCAGAGTGAAATGTGACAAATGTTCTGTACACTTATGCTTCAATTCTACCAACAATTGTTTTAAGGAATTCCATTGTAATTGGAAGGTTTTGTCTCTTTTGGAAATATATGTATGTATCCTTAAACGCACGATGTTCCCAATTGGGAACACAAATTTTTTTTTATGTTCTGAATAAATTTTTTGAAAATAATGTTTGTGCCTTATTTCTATGACCATTCACATACATAAAACATGAAATAAAAAAATCTTAACAAAAAAAAACAAAATTCATGCAATAGAGGGTTAACAGTGTTTACATCGAAAACGTAATGGATTTAGAATATCGCAGCAGCAAAGAATCCATGCTAAAATAGTCATCAATACTTCTTTGCTTCTTTTTGGTCAATTATAGTCCTTTTTATTATTAGTTCACACAAACTGCACCAAATTATATTGGAATAGTATAATTTTTACTATTGCCGGTGTTGAGCACTAAAACCTCTTTCGTCGTTGTACTGGGGGGATTTAGATTCGACTTTCTCCGCCGAAATGGCCGCCGTTTTTGATAGTGACAGGAGAGTTTCATAGCTGATTGTTATCTTAGCTGTGGTTGTACCACTCTCAGATTGAGGCTCGTCTGCGTTACGCGTTATGTTTCTGGGGCTGACCTGTAAATGCTCAAATAGTCTTGAGCGAAATAAAGTTCTTCGGGGTATAGTGGATGTAAAAAGCACACACAGCTGTATGGAGCTGTTCAAGGAACATTGCCTGACCTATTTATTTATGGAATGGCTATATCTGCGTATGTCAACAGAACAAATTATAATTTGAATAAGGACATACACGATATCGAAACACACCAGCAACTAGATATACACGTCCCATTTGCTAAACTCAAAATTGGCAACCGGTTTCCCCACATCTTGAGACCAAAAATATTAAACAAGCTTCCATAGCAACTAAAAAGATCAGAATTATTGAGCATTTTTAAAAGTAGGTTGAAAAGCTACCTGATTGGAAAGTGTTATTCTGTGACTGACTTTATCAGTATATAAAATTGTATCCTGAATGTTGTTGGTTATTAGTGTGAGTTTGTTTCTTATTTATATGTAAAATTTATTATATAGTGTGTGTGAGTGTACATAATGTATATATACTTGTTTATGACGGTATACATATACATATTTGTTAATTGGATAATAAACCTTTATTATTATTAATCAATCCGTGACGTTCCAGGTAATCCAGAAGCTCCAGATTTATGTACCTCTCCATCACCTTACTTATAACAGGGTGCTTTAACTTTCGCGCTGATTTTATTGTTCTGTATAGCATGAGTATTGTAAATCGACAAATGGACAGCCAGTAACATAATGAAAGTAAATTAAAATATATGAACGTAATATGGAATTACTTCATGCTACGTGTATATTCGCGCTACTTCAACTGCTGGATCAGACTAACTAGCCGAAACGGACCCTGTTCTAGAAAAAATATGCGGACGGATCTTACAACGGGATTATATTTTTAAACATTGGGATTGTTTTTTAATAATAACTGGAATGGTCTACCGTCTAATGATACAGAAAATGTTGCTGGGTAAATCATTTTAGCGTGTATTTTAAAAAACTATGAATTATTCTTCAGAAGACTTGTAAAGGATGAAAGGACTTCTAAAATCGGGTCTCATTTATCCAGTTTACTGCAGCGGCTACGTCGCTAGATGGCTCGTGAAAATGGCCATCAATAACCTTAAACAAATTTAGTGGCAATTATAAATGTTCAGAAAATGTTGAACATTCTTAATCAATGTTTCTCTGGATGGTAATCACCACAACGGATTTAAGTTTTGGCTATTATTTCATAATATCTGTTATGCGATTTTTGTAAAAAATAAATTTGATAATAAGAAAACAATGTATCTTCATCCTCTGCAACCTTCATCTGAAGCAATTTTAATAACAGTTCTTAGTTTTTGCAATAGATGAGAACAAATAATTTTTTTAGCTTTGGCGGCTAATAAAAGTTACTCAGCAGAATTTTTGGTATCTTCACATGAAACACCTTTTCTTTTACCCCTAAGAATATATTTCTTTTGTAAAATGCATTTATATAATTTTTTATGAAATTCTAGGTAGCCTAGTCTTTAAACAGTGTCTGCAAAGTCAATAAATATTTACCACTAACAGAATGGAACAAAGAATTTTGTGTTAGACATCAAATCAAGTTACATAAGTCAGCCAGTATAAGATGACCAGTGGTCGATAACTTGTCGGTGGCTGTGTCTGGGATCCCGCCGTGTGAATTCCGTCTATATAGCATAGCAGAACGAACAGAATTTGTGTCACGGGATCTTGGACACGGTCACTGACGGCTGTACGAACAGGGCTATAAGCTCTTTTGTAACATGTGTAAAGGAACGTACCTTTCTTTATACCTACTCGGTTCGATCGAATAAACGGGCTATCGATTGTACCCAATACGTAATTGGAGTGCCTTACAGTAATGATCCAGATTCCCATATTAGCATGCGAAAAGTGAATTGGACTGGAATTTCCCTCAATCGATTGTCATCCTAGATGTACTGTCGACTACAATGGTGAGTCTCTAATAATAATGCTGTTTGAACCTGAATTTCCATAGATACGAGTAGAACAGGTGCTTGTTGTATGGGGGGTAACATTCACTTGCGAATTTTGCACGAGGTATAGGGTGTGATTCTCACTTGGCTTTACTAGTCCCATGAGTCTCAGTGGTACACAAGGTATACTTGGGTGTCTCAGAAAAACGTGCCAATATTTTTAGAGCAAGAATTACATCCAAAAATTGCAAAAAAAGTTCCTATAAATATGGGTCTAAAGACGCTTCCGTACCGCGATACAGGGTGATGAAGGTTTTACTGTGAAATTAAAAAAAAAGTATATCAACGGAGCGGGTAAAGATACTGAGTTAGGATTTCAGATGTCAAGTGAGCACATCATCAACAATAAACAGGCAGAGTTTCTTGGCCCACACAGTTTTCACATGCGCTTTTTACTATTTACCATATTATAATAACAAAGGAAATATCACAACCCAGCTTTACCAATTAATAAATTATGATTTTGAACGTATCTATTATACTATTATATATAACAGATACATTTAGTATTATCGGTATCAGAAGTTTTTCACCCCCGACCCCCTGCCGCTCCTAATCCCCTACAAAACCTTTTCTGAAAATGAGTAGGACCCTCTAAAATGTTAGAAATAAAGCCTGGGCGATTTGTAAATCTTTTTTTTGTTTTTGTTTTTGACCGTAACTCCGCTGCCATTGAATCGATTTTGAAGACCTAAAAATCGTTCTCATATCTGGCATAGTAGTAACCTTGAATCAAAATTTCATCAATTTCCGAGCGATAGTTTCCTTGTTATAGAGAGGTCATGGATTGGCAGAAAGACAAACAGACATACAGATCGACAGACAGGTAGACCGATGGAAATAAGGGACATTGTTTTTAGTGATGAAAACATACCTTACTTTCGAAAATATTCACTATTGCAATACTTCTTCGCAAACTGGCACGGAAAGTAAAAACTAGCAAGTAATGTACCCTTATACTACTACAGCCTAAATCATTTATGAACGGATCGCTTTTTCTAATGCAAAGTTAATGAGTATTGAGAGATTTTCGAGGAAAATTAACCAAGGAAGTTCCTTGAAGGCACGTTTCAAACAACGGATGCATTTACTTATAACTGAAGCGAATACTAGTCCAATTAAAACTTGCTTTATTGGACACTCTCAGAATGTAAACTTCTGTTCGAACAATATTAGAGGTCTTCATACCTAAGCAGATACAAAATCAAACACTAAATACCGAGATACCGCATGCTAACATATATCTTGAGTAATTTCACAAAACTGTGGGAAAAGTTTATCCAAGAAGTCCGATCTGCTTAGTTTTTGGAACTGGATACTCTTTTGCAGCTTAGAGTCTCGTATAAAATATCCAAACCACAGGGCTATTACGTAAAAAAACTAAAAAACGTAAAAAAGCCGTCGAAATGTCATCTTGCAGACTAAGTAGTTTTTAGTGTGCAAATAGTTCATTCCACGTTTGCTCGCTGACGTTTAAGCAACACGTACAGCTATAAAACGAGGTCACAAATATACAACAGCTTGTGCTAAATTAACATCTTGTAGAAAAACCTACGTTATGTTACAAAAACCCTACGACATGTAAAAAAACGACAAAATATTACTTTTCAAGTATTACACCCCTGCCGAACATAGATTCAATAATTGAATAGCTTGGTAAGATTAATAAGATTCAAATGGATCTTATCTAGTTGAGTTATGGAAGAGTGTTGGAAAAATTCCATATTCCATCTCCAGAAAATAATCCTAACTGTACGCGTCTGTCAGTTACGCGCTGCACACAAATGTTTGCGTAGACGTATTGAGTTTAATGATGCAACGCAATCTTGTAGCCTTCTTTTAGTCTATGACAAATATGCTGTCAGGTCATGCTGTATAACTACAGTAAGGGATTTTGGCGATAAAAATCACCATTTTCGTAAGATATTGAGAAGCTTCCATCGAAAAAATATTAGTTAAAATATTTCTTAACTACAATAAATCAAATCTAGGATCTTGTGTTCACTTTTGTAGCAATTCTTAGTTACCATAGACTTACGTTCTCAATTTCTCCATCCAACTGGCTTGCCTCTTATTTGGCAGAGTACCGAGTTTTGCAAAGCGCATACGTTTTGGGCTGGAGAGTTAGAATACCATCATATCTATTGTATCGGTGAATTGCAACCAGATGCGATAAATAGATAAAGCATGTCTGTCAGAGCGGTCCATAGGATATCTGCTCTTGGTTATGGTGGCATGGCGCTCTGCCGACGTCCCTACATCGAGTCCGCAAATAGATGCAATTACTCGCACCCACAAAGCCACAACACATCACGCAGTCTGTAAACAAGGGACTACCCGATTACAGACTCCCAGGCTCGAAGTACCTGCCACCATTGTAACTGGCGCGGATTTAGGATTTCTCTGCACTAGCTATAACAAGCACGATTTATTAAATGACGTTACAAAAGTTAAACAAGAAAGAGCTGTTTATAATTATTATATAATTATAATATTTATACTCGTATACCTTGGTGAAGTATGTTCAGCACTTTTATATCCTGAGACACATAGTA